CTGTATGTACAAGACTATGTATGAATCTAAACATTCACCACACATACACACCCACAGACAGAGAGAGAGAGAGAGAGAGAGAGAGAGAGAGAGAGAGAGAGAGAGAGAATTAAAACTATGTAAGGTAAAGTGGAAGGAAAAATAAAACTTGCTAGGCAAATCATAAAGCTCAAAATCAATAGACCATGTGACTTAAGAGCAAGAATAAAAGAGGACCAATTAATTGCCTGTAGCACTATAGGGCTTTGGGGATTAATGTAACTGGAGCAACGAATGAATGAAAAAAGGACAGACACACAGACATACATATGGAAAGGCTGGGATGAAAGGGAGGATGGATGCTGTTTGATGGAGCTCACCAACCACCGAAGCAACCCAGAGACCTCAGCACATTTATTTTACACATCAGATTCAAGGAGACAGGTTGATGGGATAGAGTGAACAAGGAGGCAGATTTAGCTAATCTTGGTAGGAGGTCTCTGTAGGGACCTCTCAGGCTGCAGTGGAGCAGAAAGCTGTAGCTGAAAGGTTCTTCATACACTGTCAACATTTGTACTAGGACAAGAGGAAGGTTTTGCTACCCCTCAACAATACATATTCACTCGGCTTCATCTGCTCTCCATAAATACCTGGATTGAATATGCTATATCACCAAAAACAACCATTTAATTAAAGAAATAAGTAAAAAGGATATTGAAGGAATAAATAGACTTAATGAATTTAAAGATTATGAATGTATGTGTGAATAGACTTTCTCACATACACATGACATGCATGTTCTCAATTAATCCTTGGCAATTATCTTTTGAAAACAAAGCAGTGTAAAGCAAAAACTGCTTACACCACAGGAGGTAAAGCCAAATGCTTCTTACCTCATAGACATTGAATTGTGACTGTCCTCTAGAAAGTTCCCGATAGCTTGTTGTAAATTCTCCAATGAAATCATGACTGAAAGTGAGAGGAGAAAAAAGTACGTGGCATTAGCCTTGCTCAATTCTCATTCATATTTCAAAACATTTTATGTATCAACTGTGTTTATTGATTATGAAAAATGTTTAGTATCTGAATGAACACAACTTTACAATTTAGACAATCTCTTGAAAGACTGATATATAATTTCATTGTCCCTTAGTCTAAAATTCATAACCGACAACTACATTTCACTAATATTAAAATATTTAACTTACCCACCAAAGTTAGTACTTGAGACAGGAAAAATAGCTTTAATGATATTCACATCTTAAGCAAATGACAATCCTGCGGTACCCAAATGATAAATTATTTCATTAAGTTTAAAACATATTGCTGAGAAGTTAGTTACTGGTATTTGGTCCTCAGGCAATTATAATTCCCCAAAGGAATTATAATTATAATATTATAATTATAATTATATAATATAAATATAAATAATATAAATATAAATATAAATATAATAATTATAATATATAATTATAATATTATATAATTAATTATAATATATATTCAGGGAACTGGAGAGTGTGGTCAACTTGACAGAATTTAGAAACACCTGAAGATGGCCCTCTGAGCGTGACTGAGGAGAATTATCTTGATTGTGCTAACTGTAGTGGGAAGATCACCCACTGTGGGCAGAACCATTCCCTAGGTGTGTCCTGGAGCTGTAAGGAGAGAGAGGGAGCTGTGCAGCAGCAGGCATTCAACACTTCTGACTGGTGAGGTCATGTAACCGGCTGCCTCAAACCTCTGCTACCTTATCTTTCCAGCCTTGATGGGAGGTGCCTTAAACTGTGAGTGAGAATAAGCCCATTCTCCTTTAAGTGGCTTCTGTCAGAGTATTTTATCACAGTAACAGGAAAGTTTCTGTTTTGTGTCACAGTGATTTTGTGTCACAGAACTCTCAAACTGTTCATTGTCATAAATGGGTGTCCCCATAAACCCTATCTGAATTAAATATTTATCTGTAAATCTCTTAAAAAGTCATGAACCTTCCCTGGTGACCAGTAATAAACAATGCATAAGCTGTGTTTAACCAACCAAAAATTTAATTCCAGAATGTAAGATTTTGAAGAAAAAGATTACCTGCAGTCAATTGCATAACATTTCTTTACAAGAGAACATTTTCTTTTTTATTTTACTTAAATAATTAAAAAAATTTAAATACCAACTTTAGTTTCCTACCCTCTCTCCTCCCAGTAGCCCCCTTCCATTTCCCATCTACCCCTCCCCCATCCACTCTGCCTCCATTCAGAAAGAGTCAGGCCTCTCATGGGCTTGAGCAAAGCATGGCTCATCAAGTTGAGGCAAGTCCAAGCTCCTCTCCTTGGGTCAAGGCTGGGCAAGGTAAACCAGCATGGGGAACAGGTTCTCAAAAGCCAGCTATGCACCAGGAATAGGGCTTGATCTTACTGCTAGGATCCTTACAAATCACATAAGGTAGAACTCATTTTGGTATCCAGCATCCCAATTCCCCTTATGTGAAAGGTCCTGTACACACAATCCAATGTTTTCTGTGGAGTCTCCTTTTTAGAGCAGTCTAAACTTGACTTCTGTAATTGATGTTCAAATTTAGATTTACATACATGAAGATGTCAAAGGAGAGTGTTTAATTTAATAGTGTGTTATGATGATGATGCCAAGAACACAGTTTTTCAAGTTACACACAAAAAAGTACACAACAGCACTTTAGTTCTGGTTCTTCAGTTTGTCTATATGTCTTATGAAATTTGGATAGATGAAACAATTCCTTTTACTGTGGGAAGTGCAGCCTCATACCCACAATGTCTTTTTTATAAACCCTGCAATTCTCTTGAGTCCTAGTGATTCTATTTAGAACCCAGCCTCTTCCCCCATGCAACTTTCAGGTATCTTAAATAGTAACCATGGAGATGAAAGTGCTGAAGCACTTCAAAGACTGTGATGCTGATGAGTGTGATCTGACCTGTAACACTGAGCTCTCACTGAACAGTGCTGGGAATGGAGAATAGAGACTCAACACACAGTGTGTGGGTCTGTGTCTGGCCAATTGTTTAAACTCAGTAGTCAGATCTGTATTGTTAGCACTACATTTCTGCCATTCAACACTTATCACACACTTGACAGAGAGAAGCAACGTTACAAGCAAATGAAATTAGGTAATCCAGACTCAAATTCAGTAGCATCTATGTACAAAGAGCCATTATAACAGAGTGGAACATTTGGATATAATCAGAGTCTGGTTACCCGAGCACACTCTGATACAACCATACTGAACTAACTGTGTTTGATCTACATACATTTGTTACTCTTTACAAAACTGAGGAATATATAATAGGGGCAGCCTGTTTGTTCTCAGTGGTGGAGATGTGTCTTTGAAGCCACTGAATTGGGGGAGTAGCTCTGGATGATGGCTCCACATTCTTAAAAGGAAGAGAAAATTTTCTCCTTTGCATTAGTTACTATAGAAGGCACAGCCAAATTTGTGATTTATTTCTAGCATATGCTATCTTTTACAGAATCCTGTTTCCTACTCCTACTGCTTGACCTCAGTGTCCTGACTCAATCTGTTGTTTTATATGCACCTCTGAAAATGTCTCATGTGTGTTCAGAACAAGATAGACCATGAGGAAATTAAACAATGAATAAAATATTGTTCCCCATCTCAACATGATTCAAGATATTTTAGAAATACCAAATTCATGTGTAACTGAAGTATCCTTTTCTTATAATACCATGCATTTTGTCAAAAATTACATGGCAGCCCCCAAGACAATGTATCTATATGATAGAGAAAACACATCATTTTACCCCATAGCAATGACTGAATAAGAGTAGAAGACTTGTCAAACTTCATTTAAAACATAGCTGTAAAGTTGCCAAACTTAGATGCAAACACAGCTTGTCTTGACTAACCCTGAAGAACAGCAGAGATGATCAGGTTAGTTTAAATGCATAGATAAGTTTTTATCATTCCCAGCTTTTATACACTGTCCTATTCCAAATCCTGCATATGAAACTACAAATACTTCTAAAACATTAAAATTGTTTTAAATTTACTTTTGAAATATTTGTGTGTATGTAGGCACATGTGCTTGGGTGTACATGCCTGTGGATGCCTGTGGAAGGCTACAAGGGTGTGGCATGTCCGCCTAATTACTCTCTGCCTATTCCTTTGCGGTGGTGCCTCTCTTTGAGTCAAGGCTTGTTTTCTGCATTAGTCTGGAAGGCAGAAAGCCTGAATGATCCACCAGTCTCTTACTCATCGAAGCTGCGGCTATAGGTATGTGTATAATGCCTGGACTGTGCCATAGGACCCAAATTCTGGTCCTCATGATTGCACAAGCCCTGTAACTGCTGAGCCATCGCCTTACCTCCCATGTACACAAATTTAGTGTTCTCTACTTTTTTCCTATTCATGTCCTCTACTTTTTTTTTACCATCTACTATCATTGGACTCTATAAGATTCAAATAAAATTAAACTTGCTTTAATAATTTATCTGTTCATTATACTCAATATTGAAAACAATATTGCTACTTACAGAAATATGGTAGAAGGTATTAAAAATTAAATCACAAGCAACAGTTTCCTTGTGATTTTAATAATAATGTTTTTAATACTTCCTATTCATTTAATTGTAATTAAATACTTTGTTCTTTGAATGCATTTTCAGAGTATAGTTTGGTGCCTTTTGTATGAATTATATTTATCTACATGCTGATTGTTCACATTTTAAGAAGACATATGAAAAGTCTGAGATAATAAGTAGTGAAATTTTAGAACAAATTGATGGCTACCATCACTAGCAATTTCACTGAAGAAACTAGTTTTGAGTCAAGTGCTGAATAAAATCTATATATGGTAATCATATCTATGTTTTGTTGTCAGTGGAGAGTGGCACACTGCAAATGTGATTTATGTTTACACTTGACCATGAATACAGATGTCACCTCCATTTAAAGTGGAACAGCAATATGGAGTCAGGTCTAGATATAAGGGTAGTTTATTCAGGAAGATGCTACTCACTCAGAGCTGCCTGGCCAGTCAGCAGGGAGCAAGGTAAGTAGAAGGTACCCCATGTATATGTCCCTCACTCTTAAACCTTCCTCAAGTCACTCTGACCACACCCAAGTGGGCATGGTCAGGCACACCTGTTTCCAGCCCCAAGCGGGCGTGGCTAGGGTATCCCCTACATCCCTTCATGTACTTTAGGATATCCTCCTTGACTTCACTTACTGATTTAGCTATTGTTTCCTTAAGGATGACTTTCCTGATTCATACCCTCACACTTAGCTCTCAGAAACAAAAGGGAGGCTCACGGTACCCAGTGTCACAGTCATTACATTTCCTAACACATAGTACTCATGGTTGTTCATATGCTTCCCCTCTGGGTCCTTATTAGTCTAGAAAAAAGAAGATTAAAACGACACCTCAGTATTCCTATACATCTGCATCAGAGCCTAGCACAGAGTGGGTGTCATGAATGGCACAGTGCTCAGACTACATCTCTGTTAGTGACTAGCACATAGTGGGTACCATAATGTCACAGCATACTTGGATTACATCTCCATTGGTGCCTGGCCACAGTGGTAGGCACCATGAATAACACAGTGTTCAAATTACTGGCACAGCTGATCTGTGATATTACTTTGCCTAGATTATTAGTGTTTTTTGATTTATACCAATTATATGCAGTTCAGCATAACAGCAAAAGTATCAATTATGTTCATTTTCAAAGGCCTACAATCTAAAGAAAATACCCTAACTTATTGACCCACAGGATTAAGCCTACTTGACCACACTGAAGTACTGCCTTCTGCTGGGAGTTTGGAGTATTTCATGCTTAGTTTCATGACTGTCACTTAAGAACTTTGTACAGCTGGCAGATACATCCCAAACGACTCTCCATGGATGGGAATCCAGACTACTGTACCCAGCTAAACTACTTGCCATAATATAAGGGGAAATAAAATTTCTTTATGAGATAATCAAGCT